GGACGGACGGACGGACGGGACATCAATGTGAAACACATCATTGATTGGTTGCCTTTCGCACGCACCCTGACCAAACTGGGATGGAGCCTAAAACTGAGGTATGTGCCCTTGACCAGGAATCAAACCTGTGACCTTTTGGTTCGCTGCTGTCACTCTAACCACTGAGCCAAACTGGCCAGGGCATCTCTACATTCTTGCCAACACTTGTTATTTGTTGACTTTTTGATCATAGCCATTCTGACAGATGTGAGGTAGGTACTAGATACAGAGAATAAACTGATGGTTGCCAGAGAGGAGTAGTATTGGGGATGGGCAGAAAAATTGAAGGGGATTAAGAAGTACAAACTTCTAGTTATAAAATAAGTCACGGTGATGTAATATACAGCGTAGGGAATAGAGTCAATAATATTGTAATAACTATGTGTGGTGACAGATGATTACTAAAATTACTGTGATGATCACTTTATAAGATATATAAATATTGAATCACTATGTTGTATACCTGAAACTAATATAATGTATATCAACTATAAATAAAAATAATTTTTTAAAAAAGTGGTGAGAGTGGGCATTCTGTCTTGTTCCTGATGTTAGGGGAAAATCTCTTTTAGCTTTTCACGATTGAGTATGTTAGCTGTGGGTTTGTAATATATAGCTTTTATTATATTGAGACATGTTCTATCTAGTTCCAATTTGTTGAAAGTTTTTTTTTATCTTAAATGGATGTTATATTTTACCAAATGATTTTTTGCATCTATTGAGATGCTCATATGATTTATATTTTTGTTTTTGTTATTGTGGTGTATTATATTTATTGTTTTGCAGATATTGGATCATTTTTGCATCTCTGGAGTAAATTTTATTGGATCATGGTATATGATCCTTTTAATATATTGTTGAATTTGGTGTGCTAATATTTTTGCGGATTTTTACATCTATGTTCATAGATGGGATATTGGTAATTTTTTTTAAAGAATAGTTTATTGAGCCCTGGTTGGTTTTGCTCAGTGGTTAGAGCGCTGGCCTGCAGACTGAAGGGTCCTGGGTTCGATTATGGTCAAGGTCATATACCTAGGTTGCAGGCTCGATCCCTGTGTTCGGAAGGCAACCAATCGATGTGTCTCTCTCACATCAATGTTTCTTTCTCTCCTTTCCACTCTCTCTGAAAAGCAAAAATATCCTTGGGTGAGGATTAAAAAAAAAAAAAGTTTATTGATCCGAGAGAGAGAGAGAGAGAGAGAGAGGAAGGGAGAAGGGAAAAACATTGATGTGAGAGAGAAACATGATAGGTTGCCTCCTGCACACCCCTTACTGGGGTTTGAGCCCATAACCTGGACATGTGCCCTGACTGGGAATCAACCAGCAACCTTTCAGTGCATGGGAGGTTGCTTAACCAACTGAGCCACACCAGCCAGGGCTGTTGGTTATATTAATTTAAACAAAGTGTCATCTGTTGTGTTATGATAAGAAACACAAGATATTTTACCTCCATTAATTTCTTCTCTAATTCACCACCTTCAACATTTACATTCTTTATGCTTAATTTTTTAATGTTTTATTGAAAATAGGTGTAATCGTGACAAATTCCCTCAATTTTGTTTAATAAAGTTTTATTTTCTTTATTTTTTGAAGGGTTAATTTTGCTGGACACAGAGTTGTAGGAGTGGTGTTTTTCTTTTAAAACTACATATTATACATTACTCTTGCATGATTTGTGATAGGAACTCTAATTCTAATCTTTGTTTTTTTGTAACTAATTCATTTTTCTGACTTCTTTCAGTATATTATTTTTGTCTACATTGAATATAAGATAATTGGTGGAGTGTTTTTGTTGTTTTTGCTTTTTAGTGTGCTCTGAGCTTCCTGGATCTACAGTGTATCATTTATCATTATTTTTAGGAAAATCTCAGTGATTGTTACTTCGCTGATTTCTTCTGTTTCTTTTCTGTCTTTCTTTTCCTTCATGTAGTCCCATGATATGGATTTAAGTATTCTGTTTAAAGAACATACCTAGGGTTCATGTATATTGTGTTCTGACTTTTTTGTTCTTTTTTTTTTTTGTCATTGTATTAAACTTTGATGAGATATATATATTGTTTGAGTACAGGGCATGTTACGAACACAATATTTGGGGGGTATATTTCAAAATGTTGTGTTTATTTTCTCTTTTCCAATTTTGGGGACACCAAGTCATCCTGATCTAAATTATCCAATGGATCTAAAAAGAGTTCAAGTTTTATTTATTTATTTATTTATTTATTTATTTATTTATTTATTTATTTATTTATTTTTATTGTAATGTCGGAAAGAACAGCTTCTAAGTTACTTTAATACCAGACCAGCTACTAGAAGTCTCTGACTCTATGTTTTGATCATTGACTGCTGACAGCTTTTTTTTTTTCCTTTTAAAATATCTTTATTGATTTTAGAGAGAGGAAGGGAGTGGGAGAGAGAGATAGAAACATCTACGATGAGAGAGTCATTGGTGCTGCCTCCTGCACCCCTCCCACTGGGGACCGAGCCTGCAACTGGGCATATGCTCTGACTGGGAATCAAACCTCAATCTCCTGGATCATAGGTTGATGCTCAACCTCTGAGCCATGCCTACTGGGCAACTGCTGACAGCTTTAAAACCTCACCCCTCCTCTTTCTCCTTGCGAACCATCTGTACAAGGTGATAAAAAAAGCCTTCATGCTTCTTTCTTTGGAGTAGCAAGAGATTGAATTCATACAAGCTCCTGCTCTTGTGTGTGAACGCTCACCTGAGCCTACCCCTAACCTCATGAAACAAGTCCATGCACCTTTTCTTTTCTTGAAAAGTATTTTATTCTTTACTGAGAGGCTTACCTTACTATCCCAAGACCTCAATCATGGATGTAATAAACCCTTTCATACTCTATTGATAGTGTGTGGTATCACCAGCTGAGGGATTCCCATGCTTAGTGGTTGAGCTGTCATGCTCCTTTACTCCATAGGGGAGCTTGAAAATGACAGAAGAAGGGAGGGCATTGTCTAGATATACAAATAATACCCTTGTGTTACAGTTGCCTATAGTATTCAGTACAGTAACACACTGTACAGGTTTGTAGTTTAGGAACAACCTGCTATACCATATAGCCTAGGTATTTGGTAGGCTATGCCATTTAGTTTTGTGAAAGCACATTCTACGTGTTCCCACAATGATGAAATTGCCCAAACCATACATATCTCAGGATGTATCCCCAGATATGTGGCACAGACTAACTTTCTAGGCCATCATATTGGACAGGGAGAGAAAGGGAAAACTGAGTCTGTAATAAATATGACACAAGAAAAAAGCAATGCTGTTCTGTATGGATATTATTCAGCTAGCTGCAGCTGATGACTTTTAATGGCCTGGAGAACTTTAAGGTGACATGGCTACCTGGGCCTTACTAAAACTGGCATTGTCATAGGCCTCTGGACTCATGTTTGGTGATGGCAATAGAAGAGAAAGCTTTTAGTATTTAGTATGTATTTATTCACTGAAACCTTATGCATATTTAACCCTCTGCCTCATGGAGTGCTGTAAGTGGTGAGTAATAAGGAAAAAAGATTAAAATTTTTTTCACAAGGAATTGACCATCTCAAAATGATAATATAGTATTTGTTTCATTTCTGTAGCATTTCTTTGTATTCCCAAAATACTCTGAACCCTACCAAATACATAAAATATAATGTGATCATGGTAAAAATGTGTAAATAATTTCCATATGTTCATGACAGTATTAAATTTATGAGGAAGTAATTGTGGACAGAGGTGTAAGTTTCTGATGATGAAGTCATAACATATTGGAGACAACAGAACCATATGTAACTTTTCCATAAATGGAGTCTAGGTGTTCAGTGCTGTCAGTCTCCTAAATTTTACTATACACATATTTGTGGTATTTTAGGACTCAGTGACATTTGAGGATGTGGCTGTGAACTTTAGTATGGAGGAGTGGGCCTTACTGGATTCTTTACAGAAGAAACTATATAAAGATGTGATGCAGGAAACCTTCAGGAACCTGGCCTCCCTAGGTAAGGATGACAAGCTCCCTTCACTTCTTCCTCTGAAGGACAAGTGTTTCTTACCCATCAACATTGTGTTAACATGTAATTTAGGAATAGAGGACATTGGTAAATAAATTAGGCATAGTTACAGCTCATTATAGAACTAGAATCTAATAATTTTTCTACAATCTAATACTTTGGAATCCTGTTTCTTGGTTTGCATTTTAGGGGAAAAATGGGAAGATCATGACATTGAAGATCAGTACAAAAACCAGGGGAGAAAACGTGGGTGAGTAACACTCATAATAGAAGTATCTCAGGTGAAAAACCTATTATGCTATAAAAATTTAAAAGGGATCAACAAAAACTACCCCTGCTTCAAATTAATTCTCAGAAGTTTTTCACCAAATTACTTTTTTATAGGTGACATAGATGTCTAGTGTTTGCAAAATATTTTACGTGGAAACAGCACTCATGAAGCCAAATATGAAGGTCACTGTTTTGGTAAAAGCAAGGCTGAAGTTGTCTTGCAAAGATTTTAGTGTATTCATTGTCCAACAATTTTGATACGACATTAAACCTATACTTTGCAGTAAATCATAAAATGTAGGTCAGATATTCTACTAATAAATATAAAATTATTAACAAAGAAATTAATAACATGTTTCTTGTTTTTTTACAGAAGTCAAATGATAGAGAGACTTTGGGAAGGAAAAGAGGGTAGTCAATGTGGAGAAAACTTCAGCCTTATTCCAAGTCTCAATCTGAAGAAATTGCTTCCTGGAGTAAAACCATGGGAATACAGTGTGTGGGGGGAAGTCTTCAGGCATCATTCATCCCATAAGAGGGACATCAGATGTCACACTGGATACAAGCCCTCTGAGTATCAGAAATATGGAGAGAAGCCATATAAATGTAGTCTATGTGGGAGAGCCTTCACTTATGTTCAGTTTTTTGAACAACGTGAAAGAAATCACAATGGAGAGGAATCTTATAAATGTGAAGAATGTGGAAAAGCCTTCACGTGGCTCAAAAGCCCTCAAAGACACATGATCGCACATACTGCAGATGCCCCTTATAAATGTAAAGTGTGTGGGAAAACCTTTAGTTCTTCAGCTTCTCTTCAAACATGTGAGAAAACCCATTCTGTAGAGAAGCCTTTTCAATGTAGACTCTGTGGAAAAGCCTTCCGCTATTATAAAAGTTTTCAAAGACATGAAAGGAATCACCCTGGAGAGAAACCCTATGGATGTAAAAAATGTAGTAAAGCCTTCAGGTATCCCAGTCATCTTCAAATACATGAAAGAACTCACACTGAAGAGAAACCCTATGAGTGTAAGGAATGTGGAAAGGCCTTCAGATCTTACAGTTCCTTGCAACCACATGAAATGACTCACACAGGAGAGAAACCCTATGAATGTAAGGAATGTGGAAAAGCCTTCAGATATTACAGTTCCTTACAAATACATGAAAGGGCTCACACTGGAGAGAAACCCTATGAATGTAAAAAATGTAGCAAAGCATTCAGTGCTCCCAGTTGTCTTCGAAAACATGAAAGAATTCACAGTGCTGAGAAACCCTATGAGTGTAAGGAATGTGGGAAAGCATTCAGATTTTACAGTTCCCTACAAACGCATGAAAGGACACACACAGGAGAGAAACCTTATGAATGTAAGCAATGTGGAAAGGCCTTGAGATATTATAGTTCCTTACAAATACATGAAAGGATACACACAGGAGAGAAACCCTATGAATGTAAGGAGTGTGGAAATGCATTCAGATGTAACAGTTTCTTAAAAATACACAAAAAATCTCACACTGGAGAGAAACCCTATGAATGTGAAAAGTGTAGTAAAGTATTCAGTACTCCTAGTAATCTTCGAATACATGAAAGAACTCACACTACAGAGAAACCCTATAAATGTAAGGAGTGTGGAAAAGCCTTCAGATATTATCGTTCCTTACAAACACATGAAAGGACTCACACAGGAGAGAAACCCTATGAATGTAAACATTGTGGGAAAGCCTTCATTTGTCGCACCACCATTCAAAGACACATGAAAATGCATACTGGAAATACACCTTATCAGTGTAAGGAATGTGGAAAAGCTTTCACTTGTCTTAGTTTGTATCAAAGACATGAAAGGACTCACACTGGAGAGAAACCCTATGAGTGTAAACAATGTGGAAAAGCCTACAGAGATCACAGTTCCTTACAAAGACATGAAAGGACTCACACTGGAGAGAAACCCTATGAATGTAAGGAATGTGGCAAAGCCTTTATTTGTAACAAAATTTTTCGAATACACATGATGAGAGTGCACACTACAGAAAAACCATATAAATGTGAAGAATGTGGGAAAGCCTTCAGTCATCCCTATTCCTTTCGAAGACATGAAAGGACTCACTGGATAAAACCTCTTGAATGTAAATAGTGTGGGAAAGACTTCAGTTGGCCCACATCCTTACATGTGAAAACTCCCACCGAAAAGAAATTAGTAAATAACATGAGGATTGATGTAAATTAATTTAGTTATAACATTCTAGAAAACTTTTAAGAATAGAGAGTTGTTATTAAAATAGTAAATAAATTATGTTTAGCAGTTTTTTAAGTGCATAGTTGGACATGAGATTTCTGCTACAGTTGATCCTTGGAAAACTCAGGAGTGGAGGGAATCTACTTTCCACACAGTTGAAAAAGTTGTGTGTAACCTAAGCTAGCCCTCTGCATAAATGAATTCCAAGCCAAAGAGTGAAAATACAACCGACGTTTGAACAGCCCAACTGTGGAGCTGTGCAAGTCCACATTTTAAATTCTGCAGAAAAGTGCACCTGTGCATTTCAAACTCGTGTTGTCTAAGTGTCAGTTACTTTTAGAAATAAACACTGAGGTGAAATAATCCTACAATTTATCTTTCAACAGCTACATAACATTAATAGGTAGTAAGTTTTTTATCATCGGTTAATAACATTGTCTCTACATTTTGAAGCCTGTCAGATCCATGGGTAAATTCAAGATTATTTCTAATACGCAATTAGGTTTAATTTTTATGATATCTGTTTTATGTTAAGGGGCCATTGAAAAATGACAGTTTGGTATTTGTTGGATTTTCCTATGGTTTTTTGACAGTTCCTGGATATTTCTATTCATATATATATATATTCTCCCTTACAAAACTCCTTTTGTGGGGTGATGGGTATTTTTCCATTTTTCATTCTAATAAACAATTGGAATAGAAATTTAAGTATGTTAAGTTTATGAAAGATTTTAGTTTCATTGGAATTATTTTCATATTTCAGCCTTTGCTCTTTTTTATTTCTGACTTGCATTTGGTGAATAGAGAGTTGGAAATATCATCCCTGTGGGTAGTATTAGGAACTAGATTTTTTAGAATCTATACCCATTGTGGTTCTTTATTAGACATTACCAGTAGCCCCATAGTGTGAGATTTATTTGGAAGGCAGAAGCGAAGAAGGCATTAGTCAGATTGCAGAGCCACCGTACAGGGTGGGGAGAGGTACATAGATACCACCTGCCACCTCATTTTTGTATTCTTTGCCCTTCCAGTCAAGAGTATCCTCAAAACCACCACCAACTGTTTAATTTCCATTTTTTAGGTGTAGGTTTTCACTGATGTCTTCTCAAACTACATCAGAGATCCATCAGAGTTTGGATTTTTCTGTAAGCTGTCTTCTGTCCACCAGAAACTGATTCAGACTTTTGTGCTTATGTCTGATTCTCCTCTTCTCTAGATTATATCTGCATAAGGTCTAAATTGTATAGGAAACACCATATGCTGTTAATAGTGATAGTACGTGTTCTTGATTGAACATGACATCTATAATGTTGCCACAAAAAAGAACACAGGAGTTTGTTTCTCTGCTGCATGTGCAGGGGCTGCCTTGACCAGGTCCTTCCATGTGAGAATCTGCACTTTCTTCCTGTCAGGAAGACTGGGTGTTCCCAGTTACTTGTAGCTGAGTATAATCCCTCAGTGTGTGTGTGTGTGTGTGTGTGTATATATATATATATATATATATACACACACACATATATGTATATGTGTATATAAATGTACATATATATAATTTTAATCCTCACCCAAAGATATGTTTTTACAGATTTTAGAGAGAGGAAGGGAGAGAAAGAGAAACATCGATGTGGGAAAGAAACATCTATCGGCTGCCTCCTGTATGTGCCCCAACTAGAGATCAAGCTTGCAACCTCTAGGTGTATGGGAAAATGCTCCAACCAACTGAGCTACCTGCCTAGGACCTCAGTATATTTTTAATTATGTTTGATTGTATGGGATTAAAACTATGCATTTTTTTCAAACTAATATTTATGTAGTTGCTTCATAGAAATATTAAGTGTTTTTATGACAGAAAATGCTAACAAACAGTATTTTGGTTTTCATTTTCTGAGAGGATATATTAAAATGTCTCATGATAATTATGAATTTCCCGATACATTTTGCAATTTTTAAAATTCAATGATTGTACATTATTCCTAGTCAATATTATCATGTCCATACAAGTTCAGGTATTTTCTTCTCAAGCACATTTTATATTTAATCTTTCATAGATACAATTTTGTCATAAAACTTAATTATTTTTATTCTTAATGCCAAAATGTAAATCATGATTTTCTCAGTTCTCTTTTGCCAGTGACCTACAGGATTGCACCTCTAGACAAAAAGAGAGGAGTAATGGATTCTAATGAGAATTAGCACAAACCATCAGGGACTGTGAAATCCAATATCACGGTGTTGGAAAGGACTTTCAACAGGATTTTGACTTGTGTTAGATAATTTCATTGCTATTCAAGGAAACAAGACCTTTTCCTGTACGAATGCTGTGAGGAGGTAAACTATTTTATCACTGGTAATCATATCGTTTTCTAGAAGGTAAAGCCAACGCAGTGGAGCAAAAGATAATTTGTAAGAAGCCCAGTCAATAATATTACTATACAGAGGGGAATATTGGTCATTGTTATGATCTGGAACTACTATATCTTTATTTTTAGAGAGATGGATACAAAATCCCCTTATAAATGTCTTGGTGTGTCATGGTCACTTTGATGAAGGGGTGTGACATTTCTCTTCAGCAGGATAAGACTGACCTTACAAGGAAAGCAAGGCCTGCCACCTCTGCCACAGGGTCTGCCTTTCCTAGTTATTAAATATCGATGTGTTTTCTACAGTGTATTAGACACCATTCACCATAGTGTACCTCATTTAAAATATATAAAGTTACTTCGTGGTATACTGTATAATTAATATCACCTTTCTGACTCAACTGAGGCCTCTAAGTTTGGGTTAATTGTGAGTGAACACAAACCTAGCAAGGGGGAAAGGAGCGCTTGTCCAATTAGGCCTTTCTTGCTTAGAGTCTGTACTTTTTTTTTTTTCTTAAATAGACAAACAGTTTCTTTAGTAACAAGGGGTAAAAGAGGAATTCTGAATTCCTTTTCTCTCTTCTGGTGACTGAACTACATGGTGAAATGGATAGCAACGTACAAGAATTCCTTTGCGGTCCTTCACGTTTTGCAGAAGTGCAAAGATGCCTGACTTATGTACTTGCAACTATTATTTTCTAGACAGAGTGCCAGCTGTTGTGCTTTCCAGTGTATCAGCAGTTGCTACATGTTCCTCCTTGTCTTCAAGCTTCATAGCAGGAAACAGAAGTACTTCCTTGATGTTACTGGAGTCAGTGAGAAACATGGTGACTTGGTGGATGCTCATGTCCCAGCCACCTATGGGGGCAGCCTGTATTCCAGGGCAGTGCAGAAGTCCTCATCTATGAATATGGCCTCATCATCGCCAGCCTTGGCCTTGGCCTGTTTTTCAAAAAGCTGCCACTGCCTCATTCAGCTCAGTGTAGGCATTGCATATTCTTCGGGACAAGAAGTTCAGAATGCTCAGTCAGACTCTCTTTAGAGTGGTGCCATTTGCCAAAGGGCTCATTATCTGTGGGTGATCACAGGTGAATGTAGGATTGATGCATGTCACTTTCAGAGGCTTGTGGGGGGGAAGGGGGTGTCTCTCAGAGTCCACCCCCCACCCAATTTTATTTTGCCTCCATCTCCTGCCCTGGTGGCTCCAACATTCAGGAGCGTCCTTGCTATGTGACAAGTCCCAGGGCTCCTCTGAGACTCTCTAACAAAACGGGCTCTCGATAACTTGGCAGTATTTTAATTATGAATTTTGGGGTCTTTGGCCAATCTGTCCAGCTGACACATCTTAGTCATTGTGACCAACAGCTAGGAGCCTGTTCCAAAACCCATAAGAGACAATCGGAGCCCTTCTCCCCCTTTGGATAAAATTTTCTAGAAAACCTTGTTTTTCTCTCATGGTATAGTTATGTGTGTCCATTTCTTGTTCTTGCTGGTCATTGTTAGGCCTTTTGGCATGACCAGGGAACACCTGGGACAGAGATGGCCTCTCCCACCACTCATATGCTGCCACCTCCTGGTCTAGGGTGTCCTAATCAGCCTCAGAGGTGTTGGGTCCACTTCTACCAGGACAACATTAGCAGATGTTTGGGGAAAGTACCTGACAAGGAAGCACCAGCAATCTGGCATGTTGATGTGTCACCACTCAGCAAAGCCTAAGCCAGTGGAGCAGGGGCCTGATACAGGTCTAGCTTGTCTAGTTCTTCGATCTCCTCTGGGAACTTGCGGGCAGCTGGAACCATGTGCAGGGGGGAGCAGGGTATTTAATTGAGATTCATTTTGCTGCACCTCACCAGGTTTGGGCCCCTGAGACCCCGTGGGATTGGGAGATGATTTGTGACAGTAGCAAGGAATGCAGCAACATAGGAGGTGTTTGCCTGGGCACCACAGGTGACACGGTGTCCCTGGTAGAGTTGCTTCAGTCACAAGTTAGGGCTAACTCTCCAAGCTCAACACCCAGGTCCCCACCATGGATACAGCGTGCCCCCCCAGCTGGCCTCCCCTTCCACACTCTTCTAGGGGAGCCCTCCCTGGCTCCCTGCCCTTTTGGTGAGTTCACCTTGGCTCACCGAGGGGACTTTGTCTTATGGTTACAGCCCATCACTTGCAGTCTTGACACCCAGTGGGGTCTCATTTAGAGACTCATTGGAAACTCACCCACCTCAGACTGGGGCCTGCTGGGCAGTCTCTGGAGGGGAGTCTGATGCTTGACAGCACCCAGAATTTAGGGTGGGAGTTTGCAGCAACATTCGCAGCCACAGTACAGAGCAACCCCACAGAGACCAGCAAACAGAGTTCCTTCCCAGACCAACTGAACTGTCAGGGAGAGGAACCGAGTGAGCCAGTGGTGGCTCCAATGCACGTTATGGGAGTACAAACTACACGCATAATCCCATTCTTGTTGCCTATTTTATTGGGGGCCATAGCTTGTGTATTAAATAAAGAATATGCAGCCCAGCCAGTGTTCCTCAGTGGTTGATCATCAACCTATGAACCAGGGCGTCACGGTTCAAATCCCGATCAGGGCACATGCCCAGGTTTCAGGCTTGATCCCCAGTAGGGGGTGTGCAGGAGGCAAACGATCAGTGACTCTCTCATCATTGATGTTTCTCTCTCTCTTCTTCTCCCTTCCTCTCTGTGAAATCAATAAAAACGTATTTTTTTTTAAAAAAAAATAATATGCAGATTGTGACCTACTGAATAAGGGGGCACAAGCTAGGCACAGGGAACCAGGAGGCAGCTCCCCACCCTCTCAGCTCCAACTTCAGAGAAATAAAAACTCTGGGGCCATTTAGATTGAAGGCGTGTGTCAGTACACTCACGCAAAGCAGGCAGAGTCACAAGATTTCTTACAGATCCCAGAAATGGGTGGGTAGAGTGGGTGGGTGCAGTGAGCTGGGGAGAGGGCAGTCCTTCACCCAAGGTCACCACAAGTCAGCAGAAGACAGCAGGATAGCATGCACCTGTTACTGACAAGGTGGCTAGGGAGGAGGTCACAGACTTTTTGCAGGCTTACTCGAAGTGGTTATTTTTATTGGTGTCCCTGGAAAAGCAAATTGGGAGCTTGGGGTGGGAGCCTAACCTCAGATCCTTATCTAAGCATGTATGTGTATAGAGAACAAACATGCTTAAAAAACAAAACAAAAATTCTTTCATGGTCCAGAAAAATCTTAAGCTCTGCTGACCCTTGATTTTTGTGTGTCCAACTCTTCTTTCCACAACTGTGAGATCCTTCTTAGGAAGAACTGAAGGACTGGAGGACTCAGGCCCCAACATGCCTTTCTTGCTGCTCTGTCCTAATTGAGAAAACAGCCTCTAGGGTTTCACCTGCCCTCATCCCATGCACATAACTTGGAGCAAAGTGAGAGGGCTCCCGGGCCTGTCTTTGGGTTTAAATCATGTTCCGTGTACAGTTATGTAGAAATACTGTGGTCCTGAAACACAAAGGTGTATCTCACAGTTCTCCCCGAGTGGAATCTATCAGAAGCCCTGTTGTAACCAGTGGGCCTGCTCTCTTTCTCTGGTTTTGTGGAATTGTGTTTCAGTTAGTCCTGAAGAATTTATCCAGGTACAACAGGCAACATTAGCGATGGCATAGACACCGCCTTTTTCTGCTCTGCTAATCTGTCATCAGGAGAAATTCTGTCTAAAACAGCCTCAGCAAGCGAATTTAAAGATTTATTTTTGAACAGCTGTTGCTTTGGCAGTACATTCAGCTATTTCTCCTAAAGTTCTAGACAAATTTCTGACTATATATTTATTTATGCTGACAACCGACCATGGAATAAAATTCTCAAACAGCCCCCCCCCCCC